GGAAACTTCTCTTTGAAAGAGACTACTAAAGAAAACCACGACCAATCAAAATGCAGAGTTGTGGAGTCCAGTCCCAATGGCTACCTCTACAAAACAACTCCCGCACATTCAGCCTAGAGAACCTTAGTGGGTGAAAGACTAAAGGGCCAGAGCATCAGGGGGTTATGAGAATGTGTATTCTAGGAATGTCAGATGCCACACCCATAAAACCTTACCAAAATGACTGCCTACGCATTAGGTGAGCATGGACAGTAGACTCGGTAGTGTGGATAAATGAAGCCCATGAGGCCTCAACCTACACAAAGAACCACAGACAACTAAAGAATTCTGCAAATGGGAGAACCAGTCTTCTCCAGGGACTATGTAGTACTAAATGGTCAGTCTTGAAAACATTCAAACAGTTAACATTATACATATTTAACAACAGGTTTTATTTATGTATTAAAAAAAAAGAGATCATGAATTAGAAAGAGAGCAAGGAGGGGTGTGTGGGAGGTTTTGGGGGAAAAAACTGAAGGAGAAAATGATATAATTATAAACTCAAAAATTCAAAGAATATAAGCATACTCAAGGATTGTCTAGAAGGATTCAGACAGCTCAAAAGGTAATTACAAGAACTGACAAATGGGATTTCATGAAATTAAAATGCTTTTTGTACAACAGGAAATATTCATCATAAGAAAGAGAAGAACCTACATAACAGAAGAAAATGTTTATTAACTATATACACCTGATAGTTTCTTAACTGTATTAAAACTCCAAAAATTAAATACCAAAAGACTAATAACTCAATAAATGAAAATAAACTAGATCAAAGAAGAAATAGAAGAAAAATAGGAGAAATAGAAACAGCCAATAAGTATATGAAAAAATAGCCAATAAGTATATATGTTGAGCTTCCTTGGCCATCAGGGAAATGAAAATGAAAACTCCTTTGAGATTCCACCTCACCTTAATGAGCGTGGCTGTTGTCAAGGAAAAAACGCTGGTGGGAATGTGGGAAAGAGGAACACTTAGACTTTGCTAGTGTGAATGCGAACTTGTGCCTCTACCGTGGAAGTTAATATGGACACTCCTCATAGAACTATAGAATGGAGCGACCCTGTGCTCCATCTATACAGCATTCCTGGTTATACCTCCAAAGAATCTATATCAGCACACCACAGACATGTTTGCACAGCCATGCTGATTGCTGTGCTGTTTATAATTCCCAAAATATGGAAGCAGCCCAGATGCCCATTAACAGGAACAATGTAAAAAAAACATAGTAAATGGATACCATGGGGTTTTATTTATCTATTCAAAAGTGAAATTACATCCTTTGCAGAAAAAGGACTTAACATCATGTTAAGTGAAACAAAGACCCAGAAAGACAAATATCAAGTTTTCTTTCATATGTAAAATTTAGATTTAAATATATAATTATGTGTTATATTAATGACATTAAAATAGATGGGGGACATGAAAGGGAAATGTGATGAAAGGATAACAAATACAACATTCTTCTCATACATGGAATCTATCTATCTATCTATCTATCTATCTATCTATCTATCATCTATCATCTATCAACTATCATATGACTAAAATATAAAAGGGAGCCATTTTGGGGAGGAAAAAGGCTGATGGTTATGAAATTTATAGGGGATGCTTTCGAGAAAAGTACAATGGTGTATGTTTGAAAATGTCGTGATTACACCCACTATTTAGCACACCGTTTTAAGAGTGATTAATATTCTGGAGCCCATCTCATGGCCATGTGACCTTCATTGCCTCTGAATACGTAGAAATTGATTCATGCCTTACTCAGGTTTGGCCTCAGAACTTGTACTGACAAGCAGCTGTGAGCTACTGAGCAGCCATGTCCGAGCTAAGATTGGATAAGTGACTGTGTCTTGGTTAGGACTCTTGTTTTCTCTATACCACGAAATAGATGTCCTTCAAAGACCCACACAGGGTTGCCACAGCATGCTCACCCCAGACAGACATGGGTGATGGCCTGTTGCAGGTATGAGTTCTGCCTTGCCTCCAAGACTGGGAGAATTTGAACATTGGTCTATGGTTTTGTGTAGCTAATCCTTTTAATGTCTAAGTTTCCAGTCAAGAGCGCAGCTCCGTGGAAACTGACACACAGGCTCATTTTCTTCATATTTAACATTCCATGAGTTTTTATTCCTGCACATCACGATACCATCTTTTAAAAAGGTCTAGGAAGCCCTATCTAATTTTCAGACAGGGTTTTCCTCTGTAGCGGACAAGAACATTCATTCACATAGTCGCTTAGGAAGGAGTCTGGGTCTTGCCTGGCCTGGTCAGCCAGTGTTACAGTTCTTATTTATTAACAAGCAGCTCCTAAGTGATTCGAACTCAACCAGCCATAAATATGTCAGCAGTCTGCCTTCCTTTACATCTCCATGTTTTTAGACCTTCCCATACTAACTTCCCAGAGGATTGCCTTGACCTTGAATGGGTCACTCTCCTGCAGTTTCAATGACCCAGTACTCTGGGTGTTTATGGTAACAAACTTCAAGTACAGGTCTGACTTGGGCTGCAAAACCCCTTGTGTGTTGCTTCCTCAGACCTTTTCCTTCTCTGATTTGGTATTTCCTCTTTAGCATTTGAGCTATGATAATAAATAAACTTAAATAATAGCTCCATAAGTTAAGAGCATGAACTTCATTCTAACACCATTCTGGATGGATCCCTCTTGCTGTCCTCCCCACTAAGCTTTAGGCTTTTTAGCTCCCCGGAGAGCCAGGCCTATACAGAGGACAGTTCCTGGGCTGTCAAGCCCCCAGCTGATGCAGGAAACAAGCTGACCACTTCCATCATAAGTCACAGGGAGCGCAGAGAGGGGAGGGGTCTCTGGGCAGCATCCAGCGTGATGTGGTCTAGGGGTTGACCTTACCCTACAGACAAGGTTCCCTGTGTTCAGAGACTTTTTTTTTTTTTTTAGGTGCAGCACTGAAAAAATTCTTTTCACTATTTTTTTTTCAACCATCAGTTTAGAAGTTCAAAAAGCTATACTAAGAAAATAGCTTCTCTGAGCTTGATCACACGAAGGGAAAAGCATTTAGCCAGCATCCAAGAATGTGAGGGCTCCCTGGTTCTTCCTCTTCCCCCTGCCCCCCTCCCACAGAAGACACAGAGCCTCCTAGAGTTTTCAGGATGCCCTCAGCCAGGGCCCTTCAGGCTGGGCAGCATTTATTCCTTTTCTAGCACCGTGTGGGGGCACACGCCACTGCACACGACATGGCGAAAGCAACTTTGTAGGGTCTGTTCTCTCCTTCCACATTTACCCTGATTCCAGGGAATAGACTCAGGCTGCCAGGCTTTCAAGACAAGGGCCATGACTTCTGAGCTAGCTCACCCGCCTGTTGTTCAGTTTCTATCCAAGCGAATAACTACAGGAAAATATAACTTTTGGGGGAGGGTTGTTGGTGATCTTACCCCTAACTTTCCAAATTCCTGGCCAGTGCTTTACCAACTGAGCTACCCAGCCCCAGCTTCAGAAGAGTACAACTGATTCTCAAATGGCCCAAGTTTAGTGCTGTGGTTTTGGGTGACCAGGTTTTCTTTAAGAGGAATAAGCACTGTGTAACCTTACATTACTAAAGATGTAAAGGCCACCATGTCTCAGTTCTGTAGTGTCAGAATCACATGGAAGAGTCTTTTTTGTTTGTTTTTGTTTTTTCAAAATAGGATATCTCTGTCTGGTCCTGGCTGTCCTGGAACTCACTCTGTAGACCAGGCTGGCCTTGAACTCCTAGAGATCTGCCTGCCTCTCCCTCTGCCTCCCCAAGTGGCAGTGGGATCAAGGTGTACAACCAGCATGGCCCTGCACATGAAAGATTATTGAAACACAGATTGCTGGGTCCTACCCTTAGAAATGTAGATTTAGTACTGGATTTAGCAAATTATCAAGGAAGGACTTGATAATTTACATTGCTGACATGTTCCTGGGGGCTTTTGGTAGCTGGCTCTGGAAAAAACACTAAGCTAGGTAAACATCCTTGAAGGAATGTAGAGACAAGGATTCTTGTCCAGTGAGCATCCAGTGCTTAAGAACAGGCTATGCGGCTGGGTGGTGCCAGGAAGCTGCACATGTATGAACTAGGGGAATCAAGGGAGTCTGGAGAGACAGAGAGAGTAAGCAGGAGTGAAGGGCAGAGCCAGGCATTCAAGTGTGAGGTAGACATGCCGTGTTGGGATGTGGTTGCTTTTTTTCGGTTTGATGGTTGGGGTGGTGACAAGGGCTGTACTGAAAACAGATGGAGAAGGCCCTGAAGATTTTCTTCTGTCTCCTTCTGTGTTAAGCAGCAGAGATGAGTATTTCCTTCCAACTTCCACAAGGATACTCACTTTTCTTGAGAGTGTGTGCTACTTGCTGGACGGGGTGCCCTTTCTTTGTGGCGAATCGGGATATGGTGATAAGTTGTGTCAATTAAATGGCTGCATCTCTTTTATTTTACCAACATGGTTGGAAATCTAAGTCGGACACAGCCTAATCTTCTTCAGAGACCAAAAATGTGAGTTTTGCTAAGTTCATAGGGAAACATCAAGGCAGAAAAATAGTTCAACTTTAGTCTTATTTTCAATTGCTTACATTCCACTATAAATATATCCTTTTTATTTTAGAAGTCCAAAGTTTTCCATCTATAGGCAGATTTATACTTGATTATGAAATCATCAGGATCCCCCCCACACTTTGGTCACTAACAAAATAATGCCCAAATATGGTTTCTTTTGTAACGTTGTGTCTTGAACCTAGGGCATCATGCCTGATAGGCAAGCGCTATATCACTAAGCTGTGTTCCCAGCCCCGTGAGCATAGTTTTGAATTTTACTTCAAAATACCACTTAATTGAAGTAAGACAAAAAATAAGAATGGTGATTTCTCTTTCTAAGAAATGTCAATCACTAGAAATAATATGAAGATTTCCAAATGCTCCTATGACATACAATATTCAGGACATATTTCATAGTAAACATTTTAATAAACAGCAGCATAAAATAATCAGTGTTTAATATCATCTCTGGTGGTGAAATACAAATGCATATACCCTCAATATAAAATAGTTTTTTTGGTCATTACAAGTCCATGCTTTTCTATTTGGAATGCCCATAAGAACAACTCAAACGTCAAGCGATACAGTGATTAAATGCATAGAGTGAGAATAAAGAAAGATATGGTAATGTGATCTATCAGAACGCCGCCATTATATATTTGAAGAAAATCTACAATGAATTAAAAATAAGCAAAGGAAATAAGGAAACAGACCAGATATAAAAATGAAGATATATTTTCACTTTTGTGATACAAGTCATAAACAGTTTTGTGCAGAGAAAAAAAAAAAAACAAAATCTGAAAATAAAATCACCTTACAAAACATTGTCAACAAAGTGAGATTTTTTTTTCAGCTTGCGAAAAAGGTACCATTCAATATAAAAGAGGCTGCGTGCTGCAGCACCACAGTGCTGTTTTAATACATTATAACAAGTGGTTCTGAGATTTAGTTTGCTCACCTTAATGGCTTCAGTTATTATGCAAGGCTTAAAAATAAATGTTCTAGTTCTTTATAAAAAAAAAAAACTAAGTTGAATTTATTTATTTTTTTAACCATAATAAGGACTTTCCAAAGAAGGTATCTTACTGGCTCATGGAATGCTAATTCCCCTTTAAGGGACTCCTTGAAAACTCAGATTCACTGAGACTATGTGTCCTCAAAATAAATATTCTTGAAAAACAGTTGATTGTCATATGATATACAAAATTGTGGTTTGAAGTGTCATCATTAAACAGTTGCATAGCAACAAAAGGATACACATCTTCTCCTCTACTTCACTTCAAGAAATGTTACATAGAATCAGCTTATTCCCGCCACAAAATAGGTCTTTATTTATTGCTCAGTAAATCTGAATATAGCCAACTCTTTTGAGTTCACAGTACCTATAAGTTCATGTTTGTTTGGGAAAACCTAGGCACATTTTTGGTAGACAGATTTCCTTGATCTCCTATGCAAATTCTACCTTTAAAAGCAGAGACATCAGAGTCTTCCTAACTCCTATATTCCCCTCATGAAATATTTCCAGCATTTATTGTGCATCTTGTCTCTATAGCTTTAAAATAAAAGCAAAACTTGCTGACATTTTTTCTTAGAATAAAGGAGTTTATTTTTAACAAAAGAAAAAAGAAAACAAATCTACAATCCCTTTCTATGTAGAACTTGAATCCCACAAGGATTCTGAACTTGGAAAAAGATGGCTGGCAAGAAGTGCCAGGACAGGCACACTTGATGTCACCCTCTAAGGAAGGCAAAAAAAGGATCAAATTGATTGTTTCCAGGTTAAGGAATTCAGAGTTTTGTAATCTTTTGGAGAACTCAGCATGTTTTAGACATTTTACATTTTGCAAAACAGATGCACTGTCTTTGGATTCAAGCTAGCTCTGTGAATAAAATGTTACAATCCTTGGTGCTAGAATATAATTAGTGAACATCTCCAGGAAAAAAAAAAAAAAAAAAAAAACAAACATGAAGAAAAGTGAGAGTGTAAATTTCCTAGTTACTGGTATCATCACAGGGTTTCCTCCTGTTCAGTCTGTTAACAGTAAGCACTCCTGAGACCTTGGCCAATTTGTAAACACACTACAAGGCATGGGTCTGGGTTTGCCTCTAGCATTACCTGTTTGCAGCATAAGTGGTCCAGGGAAGCTCCTACAGAGGCTGACAAAAGGAGCAATGAAACAACCCTTGTCCCTCTCCCGTGGATACTGATCCGGGCTGAGGGACCATTTTCTTGACTGTGCCTCCTTGGGTACCCCAATCCAGAAGCAACAACCCAAATTGTAACCTACAGCCATTTCCAGCATCCGCAGCTACCTTCTTTAGGGCCTGTGTAAACACATTGGGACAAAAAGGGACCGTGGAAAAGGCCTTCATGATGAGGAGAGGAGGTTCACACAGAGACACGCTACACCATCCCCGAGAAGCCCAGCTACGGAGAGGACTTCTGTGGTCATGACGTCTGTATGGCTCATTTCCATCCGAGATTTAAAATGTCGCCTAAGGTTCCCTCCATGGTGCTAAACACCCCTTCTAACTCAAACATACCTAGAGTCTAAGTTGAATCAACATAGTTCCTGAACATCTGTCCTGAAGTAGAGACAGCAGGTAGACAAATGCTATAGTATATACATTGGAGGGGTAGATGAGTCATGGTGACCAAAAGCAAATACACAGCACCATTCGACTTCCTTTTTTTTTTTTTTTTTTTTTGGTTTGCTATTTAATTACAATGTTCTATTACTCTTCATTGGTTTTGCAGTTTTCACTACTTGAAATGGTCTGTTCCCACGGACATATCACACACTCTGATGGAGCATAAATCCCACAGTGCATTATTATTATTATTATTATTTTTGCTGGCTGGTGTCTTTCCGGTAAGACACAGTTAAACTTCACAGAAGATACTGGTTGCAGTGTCCGCTAAACGAGAACCTTCAATAAACAAAACAAAACAAAACATTTGAATGTAAATCTTTTCTGTCACCTTCTAGTTTTGTTTGTTTGTTTTTTCCGGTAGGGTGTATTTTACCAAAGTCGCCCGTTTTACACTTCTGCGGAGATCATAGATTCGGTGTGCCCATGAATGTTGGAGTCCCCGAGCAAAGATGGTTGCTTTGAGTCTATTTTGTAGGGTTTTTGGGTTTTGTTGCCAAAAACAGTGATACCCCCCATTCCACCGGGATGATTTGGAATTGACATGTGCGGTAGCAAAGGAACGTTCGCTTCCTGATTGGATCCCGACGAGGGCAAGCTGGCCACGTGGCCGGTGCTGGTCGAGCCGCTGGCGCTGCTCGGGGACCGGCTCTTGGGGGGCGGACAGTGCTGAATCACCCGGGGAGGCCCCGCAGGCTGGTAGTGGGCGGCTGGGAAGGCCGCGTATCCGGGAGGTATCGGGTATCCGTTGATGGGAATGAAGCGCTGGTTCTGGGGTATCGCTGGGCCGATGAACCCAGCGATCTGGCCCTGCGGCGTGATCCCCTGACCCGGGAACATGTAGTTGGGGAAGCGGGGGTTGCTGAGGTTACTCACGGGGCTGGCACTGAGGGAGGTGGTCTGCGTGGTGGCGTTCCCACCCGAGGGGGTGGTGGAGCTGGTGTGACTCGAGAGGCCCTCCCAGGATCGCAGGCGGACGTGGATGTCCTTAAAGCGCGGCCTCCGGGCGGGGATCTCATTCCAGCACTCGGTCATGAGGCCGTACATCCGCGGCGGGCAGTCCTCCGAGCACGGCAGCAGCTGTCGCTTGCGCACCATCTCGATCACCTCCTGGTTGCTGAACCCGTAGTACGGCTGGAGGCCGAAGCTGAAGATCTCCCACAGCACGACCCCGAAAGACCAGATGTCGGAATCCGAGGAGAACTTGCCGTACAGGATGGCCTCGGGGGGCATCCAGCGGATGGGCAGCGAAGACTTGCTCTGCACCCTGTAGTAATCGGCGGAGTAGATCTCTCTGGACAGCCCAAGGTCTGAGATCTTCACGTGCAGCTGCTCGCCGATTAAGATGTTGCGAGCCGCGAGGTCCTTGTGCACGAAGAAGTGGCTCGACAGGTACTCCATGCCAGCTGCGATCTGGATGGCGATGTGCAGGAAGTCTCCGTGGTCCAGGCTGGATTTTACCGTCCCGTCTTCGTCGCTGCTGCAGCCGACGTCGGAGTGCGGGGATCGCATGATGAGGAACTCGTGGAGGTCCCCCTGGTTCATATACTCAAAGAGCATGCACACGGGTTGCTCCTGGGTGACAGCACCGAGGAGGCAGACGATATTGGGGTGGTGTAGTTCGGCCAGGAGGGAGGCCTCCTGCTGAAACTCTGCCCACTGCTGGGGGTTGTTGTAGTCTTTCAAGGTCTTGATCGCCACCAGCTGGGCGTGGTCCATGCCTGGGAGGTAGAGATGGCCCTTGTAGATTTTTCCAAAGGTGCATTCACCCAGTTCTTCCATGAAACGCACCGCAGAAAGAGGCAGTTCCTTAGCCTTGCTCTGGAAGAAACGGGAAGCGAGGGGTTAAAATCTTTCTATGCCCGTGGCAGCTCGGTCTTCCCTAGTAAGGGGAACAGGGACTGTCTCCGCTGAGAACTCAGTGGCTGGCTCTTTGATCACCTCCCCGTGATGGGGGGCGGGGGAGGGGCGCTTACCCGGCCACAGAGAAAGACAATAAAGCCAGTTCTGATGAGACCTGATAGGCTAGGGTCAGATGGAAGGGGAGGAGGAACCTCCAAGAGGGAGGGCGGTATTGGGAGGGCCGAGGGAGGAGGCTACAGCTGGGATACAAAGTGAATAAACTGGAATTAATAAAAAATAAAATAAAAAAAGAAAATTTAAAAAGATTTTAAAGGTAGATAGATAGGATACTTGTGCTGAGGGTGAGGTAAGGTGCTTGCAATTCCCTGCACACCGAGGCTTGTTTATGTCGTCTTGTCCATTAGAGGACTGAAAAGACTCAAGTATCTCCCTGAAGGAGACGGATTTTAGTAACTGTTGAAGAAGCTGGGTGTGGCGGCAGGTCGTGGAGTCTGAGGCAGGAAGACTGAGGGTATTTTAGGCCACCCAGTGAGCCCTAGCAGAAAAAAAACAAAACAAACAAACAAAAAAACAGAACAAAACAGAAAAGGGGACTGTAGAGCAAGGCATGAAGGCATAAGTCTGCAATCCTAGCATTCGGAAAGCAGGAGTTTGAGGGGAGCGTGGGCCAAATCCCACTCTCAAGGAGAGCTGGGAATATCATTCAAAGGTTAAGAGTGGCTTCATTTGCAAGGCCCTAAGTTTAATTCCTAGGCAAAAAAAAAAAAAAAAAAAAAAAAAAAAAAGTAAATAAAAATTAAAGAAAAATGTGTGGTGGGGTTGGGAGCGGGACTTTTCAAATAGTCTAAGGTTGTGGAAAAGAACAAGGGAGCTTTATTTGTGCAGGCATGGGATGATCTATAACATCCTTCTGCTTTCAGTACAACATAAAAAGCAAAGCAGCCAATGTTGTACCTAACCTTTTATGAGAGGAGAAATAGAAAGAACCTGTCCACGTTTCTTGGTACATGCATAAGAAAATATAGAAAACTGGTAAAAGGAGGCTTGGAGGAGCAATGGCTCATAGGGGATGTAGGCGTGGAATTAGAAAGAAAAGGAGTGGAGGTAGAGATTTTTCGTCTCATGCTTTCTATACTTTAAAGCTTTAGGAGCTGAGAAGATGGCTCGGTAGTTGAGAACACTGATTGTTCTTCTGGAGGACCCAAGTTCAAGCCCCAGCACCTATACAGCAGCTGTCCATTGTCTGTAACTCCAGAATCTGACACCATTACACCAACATACATGCAGGCAAAAACAGGGGCTAGATTCTGCTAACGTTAACTAGCCGAGTATAAAATCATAGGTTAGTATTTCCATCTTACTAATAATCTTTTTTCTTCTGCAGTCATAAGTCTACCTACTATTTTGCTTATATGGTCTAGACCAGTGACCCTCAACCTTCCTAATGATGCCACCCTTTAAAACCAGTTCCTCATGTTGTGGTGACCCCCAACCATAAAGTTATTTTATTTGGCTACTTCGTAACTGTAATTTTACTTCTTTTTGAATCATAGTGTAAATACCTCTGTTTTCTGATGGTCTGAGGTGACCCCCAAGGAACAGGTCTTTCTGCAACCAAAGTTAGCCAGTTAGCCAGTAATTAATTTGCTACTGAGCCGAGTCTCAGTTCCTAAGACCACCAGGACTATGTGTTGTGTTTTATTTTTTCCCATGGTTTTGACCACAGGTGGAGATCCGCAGGTCTAAATTTTTTCTTTCTGCTTTTTTTTGGTTCAGGTGATTGAATCCAGGGCCCCACACATCATGCTAAGCGCACTCTAGCACCGCGTTCCATCCTCAGCTCCTAGGGTGTGAGTCTGTGGGAATTGATCCGTCCTTCGGGAGACAAGCTGTGGCAGTGAGAAACGCAGTAAATGAAACTGACTGTCTTTCTCACAGGATGGGACGATGTTCCTTTTTCAGGCGAGAGTAACCGCATGATGTTCAGGTGATGGTAATGATGTAACCTAAAGGGGATCCAGTGGCTGCCCTGGCCATGTAGTAGATGTTAATTACTTTTCAACCTGAACCGGATTTTCAGGTTTTAATGATAAGGATGAGTAAGGGACCAAGCACTAAAATGAAAACTAGGACATAAATCAACAGACTATCAGACTGAGAACAAAAAACTTAGAACAGGGGCTGGAGAGATGGCTCAGAGGTTAAGAGCACTGACTGCTCTTTTAGAGGACCTGAGTTCAATTCCCAGCACCCATACGGCAGCTCACAACTGTCTAAAACTCCTCACGCAGACATACACAGAGTCAAACACCAATGTACATAAAATAAAAATAAATTAAAAAAAAAACTTTTACAACTGGAGTGCACAGTTCTCTACACAGCTTGAAATTAGCCCGTGGCAAAATGAATAAATGAATGAATGAATGAATGAATGAATGAATGAATGAATATTTCAATGAGTTTTGAACTCAAGTAAATCTGGGTTTGCATCTTGACTCTGCTGTTTTCCACTAATACTAGTTAGTTCCTGAACAACACTTGACTACAGGCCTGCAGTGTTGGTCCTATGTGGTAGCCGATGACCTTGAGTTTTTTAACTTCTCTGCATCCATCCAGAAGTAGATTAAATTTTGTGGATGATTTAGATCCACATACAGCCTCAATTAGTTCTACAGAGTTCTTGTAATTATTTTTTTAAACGTGGTTTGAAGTTTATTTTCTTTTAATTTTTAAATTTTTGTATGTATGTTTGTTTGTTTGTTTGGTTTTGGAGACAGGGTTTCTTTGTGTAGCCTTGGTGGTCCTAGACTCACTTTGTAGACCAGGCTCGCCTGGAACTCACAGAGATCCACCTGCCTTTGCTTCCCAAGTGCTGGGATCATAGGCATGTGCCACTGTACATGGCTTTAACTTTTTGTAATTTTTGTTAGACTTTCTCTGTTATGGTATAGTTGTTTAAGTTTCCTTAAAAAGTATTCTTTAAATTAATGTAGAATTAATTTGGACCCTGAAGGCAGGTAAGGTGTTGTAGCCTGCTGAGTGCTCCTCTTTCTGGGATGTGTGGATGGAGACAGAGATCAGGTGGAATGGAGATGAGAACAGGCCAAATTCCTGGGAACAGGAAGAGAAGGGGCAAGCAGACTCTTGGCAAGGGCCTGGCCTGTGGGTTCCAGTCTTTGGAGCTGCCCCTCCCCTCCACTGAGTTAAGCAAATTCCTTCTCTCACATTGGCCCACCTCTGCAAGAACTTGTCTTGTCATTTCACAGATGAAGAAGGGGGAAAGAAGAAAGCATACAAAATGTTCAGGAAAGCCATTCTGAAGCTCTGGCCAGCGAGGCCAGGCAGAGCAATGGCTCCAGAGGCTGAGCAGGGCTCTGAGACTCACCTGGATGATGGTGGCATACTCCTGGGGGCTGTAAATGGTTCTATCTTTCTGTGTAGACACACAAAAGGCTACATTGCGACCCCACTGTCTCTTGCCACCTCTCAGCAGCAGCAGTAAGCTAGGCAGCATGCAGCTAAGTGTGCTCTCTCTAACTGATCTAAGGAAGGAAAGGTTTGCAAGAGTCACCCGAAACCAAGCCTGAGGCCTGGCTCTGGGAACCAGTAGGGAAACACCTAACATGGCAGAGTTCAGCAAGGCTTTCCTTTTGAACACCTGAGCAGCAGCTAGCCTAAAAAATGGCCAGAAACACCGACTCCAAGCCTGGTTTCTGGGGAGCCATTTACACAGTGATTTGCATTTTAAAAAATGCTCAAGTTACTTGGTACAAATGAGTCTTAACTACAGACTCATTTTCAAATTTTACATAAATCCTAAACTAGTTAAAAAATCATAAAACCCCTTAAAAGAAGCCATCAGTAGACCGCTTGGAGATGGCAGGAAATTAGCTGTATTGTTAAGGAACAGATGGTTTACATTATACAAACCCTTTAGGCTAAACTTGTTTAGGTCTGGCATATTGTAAATTATATTTTAGTAATGAAAGTGAAATGACCTCTGCTTGACCTCAAGTGGGGTTTGTCTGTTTGAACCAATGCAGTGGAAAACTATGAAAGAAAATGAAGTCATAAAGTTTTGGCAGTTCAATTTTGGCTCATTTCAAGTTAAGGGGTTATAAATCTGTTTAGTTTTTGTTTGACAAGTATTTGTCATACAGGGATGTACAAAATGTAAAGAAGTGTAAAATACACATGAGGCACAGTGCCAAAGTAAACGAAGTACAAAGGCACCCTGGAAAGAACAGGGTCCTGGGCTCCTATCTCTTCATCACCCCCTCCATTAGTTGAATGACGAGATGGGCTGCGTTTATTATATGCTGTAAGGCAATTAAGTACCTTAAAACCGAAACAGGCTTTCAGTTTAAATGTTAACATTTTTACTTCTCAAAGTAAACACACATCTGCCTCAGTTCAGCTTTAAAAAAAATTATATAATTTTTGATGGAGAGGGAAGGGGGAAGTTGATGTAGAAGTTGATACATTGGCCAGGGTCTAATAGGGCTTCTTCTACCCCCTCCCCCACACTCCTCACCCCCATCACTCCTGGAGAGCCACTGGACAGAGAGAGTGGAAATGAGCTCTTTTCAGAAAACAAAGGGAAGAACATTCAAGTTCAGAGTCTGATATGTATCTGGTCTAGGCCTGTCAAGACACAGATTCTGAGGCCAAGATGATGAGGGTGACCTTTTGTCTCAGGGATGAGTGGTAAGTAGTCCTGTCCCTTTTCCTCTCCTTTCATGTGTGATACGGAAGTTATAAGCCATGGGCAGAATTTAAAACTGCTTTTAGTATAGAGATGTGTACAGATGGGGTAACAAGAGCCATCTCCATGACGTTATCTTTCTACCTTGGGGAGGTTTCACCTCAGGTGAGAATGTGAATAAGATGATGCTTTGGGCAGGGCAGCTGATGCTAGGCTGGGCGCCTCTTCTTCCGTTTGCATGAGTGATTAGACT